TCGCACTTTTAAGAGATGGACCTTCCATCCTTCAACAGGATGCTGAAAATTCGACTGCGTCTGGCCTCTGCCAATTTTCTATTTCGATAGTTGGAATGCTGTACTGATCGTATGCTAGGATAGTGAGCGTTAGGAAGAAGATTAGCCTGCGGAAGGTCTCAACTTCGCATATTAGACGCAGGGCGATTTTTTGAGCCAAAATTTTGGGAAATAAGTGCGTCCTATATGCCGTCAAATACGGTATAAAATTTTTTTTTACCTTTCATCAGAAGTTGCAATGACACAGCTCATGGGCAGTCGTGTTACCATATCCAATAGAAATAAAGAAAACAATGATTCTTTCTACTCACAAACTTTGTATTTGTTTGCCTGCTTGTTAAATTTCACATGTGGAGGACGTAAAGCAAATTAATTTTTTAGGTTTTATATATGCATTTAAAAATAACCAAATATTATAAATTACTGTATCACTATTGTAGAATTCCACTGTAATTTATCAGGCTTACTAACTAAACTGTATTTGGGTCAAAAAATAATATTGTTTTTTGGACAACATTTTCACTAACTCCCTCCTTCGAGATTCAAGACAAAGAAATAATCTTGGGAACAGGAGGTTCGTATCTTATATTATAGCTTGTCAATATGGTAATTTGAGTATCTAATTCGTAAGAAACTATAGACTTTGTATTTGGACATCACAAACCTATAATTTGAACCAAAGCCTCATTCAACATACCACATGACACACAAAAATTGATATTTACAAACTTGTTTTAATATCCACTTTTAAATCAAATGTTAACTAATGTATAACACTAAAATTTGAATTATCTACAATCTGATACTAAACTTATTGACATACATTCATAAAAAGTAGTTTAATAATACCTTGGACCCCCCCATCTAATTTCATATTGATAGAATTCTTGAAAACAGTATGTCTTTCTTTTCAGTATTGGTACTTTTATATTTGTTATGTTAAGAAAAAGTAAATAGAACCACAATTTCCTATCCTTTGTGACAAATGAGTTTTTATTTCACCCGTCCAATGGATAGGTACTCCAGCTAGTGATTTATACAAATAACTCAAGTAAACTGAATCACATCAAAGAAATCCTTAAAAGAACATATTGTAATGAGTGTTTAGCAAGTAATAAAAAAAATAATTCAGTTAAGATTAAAAGTAAGTTATATATACGCCCAGATAATGTTTATTCAAATAATGCAAAATTAATGAGTACTGATCCAGTTGAAATATGTAATATTTTTAATGCTTACTTTTTATAACATAGGAATAAATATGATATTATTACTAAGAAACTTGATTGTTGGATTTGTTAGTTTTCTTTGTAATGTTAATGATTAAACAACGTTCTTACATCTTGCTACTATTGATGAAATATGAACAAATTTATTAAAATATCTGGAAGTTTGTGTGATTTATACAACAATTGTTTAGTAGTGGGTTATTCTTCAGATGTTGAGAAGATAGCTAAAGTAATTGTATTTAAATCAGATTGTCCATATTCTATATTAAATTATAGACCTACCTCTATATTGTCTCCTTTTTAAAAGAAAATGAAAAGTTAATTTACACTAGATTGGAAGCTTTTTCTTTTTTTTCAACAGTTAATTCTGTAATAAATCCACATCAGTTTGGTTTTTGTAAAACCACTCTACTGTTCTTGCAATGTCAGAGACTTATAATAAGTTACTAGAATCTTTTGATTCTGATAAGATGACTTGTGGTGTCTTTTTAATATATACATGAGGTATAATTAGTTGCTTCTAATGACTTATCCACCTTAATATCTTACTTCTTTAGATCAAAGGTTGGTTAAAATTAGAAGATTTATATTATTTGGTACATAGTAATTTAAAAGTGTTTCATTTTTACAACTTAGAAATGCTTTCAGGATCGTATTTCTTAAACCTTATAAAGAAATAATATATATATATATATATATATATTCATGAATTTTATGTCTCATCCACACGCAACATTCAAGTTCATGTAGAGTTCAGTTAACTTTAACCAAAAGAATGGTTTACTAGATGACCAACTGGTCTTTTTATCATCCTGCATTTAAATAATTAGTTTTAACATTTTGTGATTTCTTTATAAACATTAATAAAAAAATGTTGTTGCTACATCATTCTTTTTTTATTTCATTAGATGGATTGGTTTAGAGAAAATTTCAGGAAAGATTTTCTCCAGCATTTCTTCAGATGGTTTCCGTACTCTCAGCATCACAGGTTTGTAAAGAAAAAGAAACAGAAAAATCTGATTAGCAAGGTAATAAATATGTTTGTTTTTAAATAGAACGATAGCATGAAATTTTCTTCAATATTTGTATTTAATAGTTTCATTTCAAATTGAAAAATGCATGATGACATGTTTTGGTGTAATGTTAAGATGGATTAAATTAACTTTCAAAAATACAAAATGATTATTAGTTTTATAGAATTAGTACAATGAATAATAACAACAGGTCTTTCTTAACAGATATAAAACAGGAAATTACTCTTCTGTAGCTTTGCATGAAAATTCTAAACACAATAAATAATTATAAGTCTGTAATCAGACTTTTAACAATTTTGCAGGATATGTTGAAAGTTCAGTACATTTACAAGTAGAAATGTGAGCATATAACATGGAAACAAAATAATTGATACTCAATACTGTAAAACATGTTCTACTTTAAACAGATGAACTTTAAAAAACACTATTTTCTCTTTAACTACATACATTAAATAATATGGAAAATACTTGAAAATATGAGATTACGAAACAGCTAACACACTAAGAAAGTAAATATTAAAAAATAATCATAAATAAACACAAAAAATAACATAACATAAATGTTTCAATAAATAAACTATTTATTAAAAGTAAACCAAAATCAGAGATCAGACGTCTGAAATACAAATGGGTTAAAACTATTTATTAAAAGTAAACCAAAATCAAAGATCAGACGTCTGAAATACAAATGGGTTAAAACTATTTATTAAAAGTAAACCAAAATCAAAGATCAGACGTCTGAAATACAAATGGGTTAAAACTATTTATTAAAAGTAAACCAAAATCAAAGATCAAACATTTGAAATGGGTTACAATAAAGCCTAGTAAAGAAACAAAAGATCTTTACAACAACTAGAACATATAAAAGAAAAAATTAGTTTTGTTGTTCAAGTTGAAAAAATAAAATAAAATAAAAAAGCCAGGTGTCGTAGGTAGTTTGGCTCTCGAGTGGGACGATATTTTGGTGTTTATGCCAAGGCCTTCATATGGGTAACTAAGCCTTTTATGTTTTCCAGTATTTTATAATAATTTTTCTGCAGTGGTGTAAATGTGAAGAAAAATAAATCTCATTATTTGACCAGACAAGATTAACCCAGGAGTTGTTGATGGGTGCTGTTAATTTCCCAAAGTTTTTCAATTCACAACTACAGATGGCTATAAACAGAAAACTTTCAGTGTTGTTACTGACTGATGGTAAAAACCGTCAGTCTAGTAATAACTGAAAGTTTTACCATCAGTCCAGTAACAACACTGAAAGTTTTACCATCAGTCCAGTAACAACACTGAAAGTTTTACCATCAGTCCAGTAACAACACTGAAAGTTTTACCATCAGTCCAGTAACAACACTGAAAGTTTACCATCAGTCTAGTAACAACACTGAAAGTTTTACCGTCAGTTCAGTAACAACACTGAAAGTTTTACCATCAGTCTAGTAATAACACTGAAAGTTTTACCATCAGTCTGGTAACAACACATCATGTTTGTTGTTCCTAATGAAAGTTAATTTTCTTCTTAGGATGAGGGGGGATGTAAGGAGAAATAGGTGTAAAATATTTCTACTATTTTAATGTATGAGAAAATATGACAATAGAAGGTACAGTATATGTCAAACGAAGGGCAGATACAGATGGTAACATGATAGCACGAAAACACATAATAAGTTGTTACAATATCAGTAGTAATAGCGAAGAAAGTGGGACAAGAGGAGAAGTAAGTAATAATAGAGGTTTTATATAAATCATTACTTTGATTTGAATATGTTTTATAGTTTATTCGGGTGAAATTGAAGCCTAGCTGTTACAGCTGTAAGTAAATTAGTAAGCTTGTTAAATCAGTTCCAAAGCAGTTATTTAGTTACTAGTTTTTTTGCTGCTAATTATGTTTTAGTGCATGTAGCTTTACGAGAAATTTGTTATTTACAATTTAAGATCTGTAATGTATTGTTTGTTTGCAACATAACAGGTACCATCTACCAGACTAAATCTTACCATCTGCAGCCTTTTCACTCTTCTCGTTCCCAAGCTGGGTGAATCTTTGGGATCTTTACACAAGCGTATTACCAAATATTTGATAAAATTAATTGAAAAAGAAGAATTAGAACCAGGAGTGGATATAGAATTGTTACTGAAGGTCATTCGTAACCTTCTGATAGCCAACAACGTGATTGGTGAGCATTATATGTACTACATATATCAGTGTGATAGTCATGTTTAGATATAAGCTCGTTCGTTTTGAATCTTTTATAGAATTAAATGCAACGATTATTAACAATCATATTCAACAACCATACAATATTTAGTTAATATCAGAAATATTTCAACAGTAACCAGTATTAACCTTTAAGGATTAGGTTGGTTAAGAGAACAGTCAGTGACTGAACAATCATATTCAACAACCATACAATATTAAGTTAATATTATAAATATTTCAACAGTAACCAGTATTAACCTTCAAGGATTAGGTTGGTTAAGTTTATGGAATAAACAACTCAAGGTATCATCTTTCATTTTAGCAATGTAAAATTCTTAAAATTTGTGATTAAAACCATGTTGCAGATGTTTTTTTTTTCACGTTTGTTTTTAAGTTGTTCATTTCAGATTCAAAGTCAGAGGTGTGTGTGAAAACAGCTACTTTTACATTTCTCTTACTTAAGAATCTGAAATGGACAAATTGACTCACCCCACACAAGCTCGTGACCTTTTTGTACTCGTATAAAGTCTTTAAAGATTTGATACTACTAACTTTTGATATGGTGTGTATATCTTCGCAAAATTTAGCAGTCTTTCGGTAAACACTTAGTCTTTCACATACAAAAAATCATATTTTTTTGTGAAGTATTTTTAATAAACTAAAAAAGGATTTGTCCTTGAATATATCGAGTATTTGTTTTAAATAATCCTTGTGCAAAGTGATTTTCA